AAACAAATGATAAACTTTAGCATTTATAGATCCTGAGAACCCTATGATGTAGTACCAAAGCACTGCTTAGTGGATTGGACAGACAAGGAAAATGTGAAGGATTGTTCCTGCTATGGAAATTACCGCAAACATTCAGTTTACACATGTTCTATATTAGATCTGTTTAATGAAAATGGGAGTGGTATATCACACGCAACATTCAAGGTACTACAGCCAGGGAAAAAAAAAATAAAAACTTTCAAAATCTAGTCAACAGCAGAGGGGAGTTGTTTCATATTAACAGAGATGGATATCAGAAAGACAAGCGGCATTTCTGCACATCTGTGTCATCTGCCTAACAGTGCACATAGAGCTCACCTCAGGTTCAGCCTTTATTTCTGGAAATGTTATTGGGACAGGATCCTCTTCCTCTTCTGCATCTGAGACTGCCTCAGTTTTTACATTCATGGCCTGACTTGCATCATGAGGTGCTGGGTTTATCTCATCATATGGACCCACTAAAGCCTTCTCCAAATTTGTACAGTTCTGTAAAAATGATCAGATCCTTCTCAGAAATGGATGCACAACACCACATGTTGNTCCTTCTCAGAAATGGATGCACAATACCACATGTTAAACAGTGTATCTCTCCTTGCTATGGCAGTTTCTCATCACATCTAACTCATAAGAGCTGTTTTGTACAGATGTTCTTCTCTACAGCTATCATGAGCACTAGAAAGTACTCAGTTCATAGCTCAGTGACCTTCCCGAGAAACTAGCTGTCACTGTGCAGTACAGAAAATATCTGCTTTTTTGGTACCTGAAAACATCATAATGAAGAGCTCCACAACTTGTAACCTTCATTCACCAAGCATAATTATATGATCAAGTGAAGGTAAATGAGATGGGCAGTTCATATAGTAGGCATGGGGGAGAAGAGGAATGCATATAGGATTTATAGATAAAGCCAGAAGGAAAGAGACCACTAGGAAGGCCTCAGCACAGATGGGAAGACAATAATTAAATGGATCTTTAAGAGACATAGGATGGGTTGTGCGGACTGGATTCAAATGACTCAGGATTGGTACTTGTGTTGGGTTTTGCTAACATGTCAATAAACTTTCAGGTTCTATACAATGCTGGGAAATTCTACGGTGGTCAAGCAACTGATGGCTTCTCAAAGATTCACTCAGCGCCCTGGAGTTAGTTATGGTACCTATGGGCTCATTACTGTGCTCACACATGTTCATCATGGCTCTGTATCCTAAGGCAAACAGACCCAGTACAAACACAAATTACTTTTAAAATCCATCTTAATAGCATCTCCCCATCTGCACTTGGTTCTCCCAAGTGGTCTCTTTCTCTAAGCTTTCCCCTCTAAAACTTTGTATGCATTTCTCTCTGTTGCATGTGCACTTTTAAAATTAATTCTTTTTTAATTCGCTTAGTGGGGGGGATGGAGTCCAACTGGGTCCATTCGGCATGGCGGCCACTGATTGGCCTATTGTATCCTGCCCCCAGTGACTGTCATGATGGAGAATTTGGTGGAATGAACAATGGCAGGGGAACCAAAGTACTCAGAGAAAACCTGCCCCAGTGCCACTTTGTCCATCACAAATCCCATTTGACCACACCCACTCCTTACATGAATTATGCAAACAAACAGAACCATGTTACAAAATATTTAGTTTCTTTGGACAAGACAATTGAAATAGAATAAAAATTCTTGTCTGTGCACACACGCACAAAACACTCACAGTCCTTTCACTTAAAGCAGGAAACTTTTCATCAGCTCTCTGCAGTACAATTCTTGCCACCCTTGTTGCAAGAGAATGCAGAATCTTTTGTAACCTTGAAACCTGTTCATCACATGATAAATACTTTGTGGGGTTCATTGGAATTAGCTCACAAGTGCCCTAGTAACTTAAATTCTTGGTTCGAATAAGTGAAAGTAAGTAAGTAAAGGTATCCCTGTAACAGGCCGTGGAGGCCCATAAGGTTGTGATATGTTGAGGTTCCCACATTTTCTAGACAATCGGCTCATAGATGGTGGCAAAGTTGACAGCCTTATGTGCCGGCTGCCCTTTACTCCCAAGAATATTCCAAGAACATTCCCGGTACTCATTTCTGTTAGAGGCTGAGTCAAAACCAGGGCCACAGTGCGGATGGAAGGATTCGGTCAATTGAAAAAATCCAATGACCTCTTTGGGACTTGAACCCGAGACCTTCTGGCTAGTAGCATAGTGCCTCAAGGTTCTAATAAGTGTACCAGTAACCAATTGTGAACAGTTCTGTGACTATCCAAGAATTTTTGCTATAGAATTTCTCTCAAACACTGTTCTATTTATGCAAAATATAATTTCATCTGCATTAAAACTGCTTAAAAGGAAACAGAAGTGGTACATCACAAGCAGCATACATTCAACAAACTATAACTGTCTAGAGACACTTCAGAAAAAGGTCTTCAAAGGTGAGTCAGCAGCACAGTGGAGCTCACCCATGTGCACACACAGACAGACAGACAGACGGAGATGAGAAAGTCAACTGCAATTCCTGCCAATCTGTGATATCTGCCTAACAGTGGACATACAGAAGCATACAGCTCACCTCAGGTTCAGCCTTTATCTCCTGAATTGTTATTTGCACAGAATACGCTTCCTCTTGTGCATCTGAGGCTTCCTCAGCTTTTATATTCATGGCCTGGTCTGCATCATGACTTGCTGCGTATGCCTCCCCATGTGGACCCACTAAAACCTTCTCTGACTTTGTACAGTTCTGTAAAGGCATCACATCTTCTATAAGTCATGGCTGCACAACACCCTACATGAAACAATATATGCTCTCCTTGCTGTAGTTGTTTTTCATTACATCTAACCCATAACAGCTGCTCTGTACAGATTTCTTCTCTAGACTTCATAATCTTAGGAAGTGTTAAGTTCATAATGCAGGAACCTTCCTGAGAAACCTGCGGAAGTACAGATAATACATATCTGCTCTTTATGGAACCTAATGACTTCTTACTGTGTTCACACATGCCCATCATGACTTTGCATCATGACACAAACCCAGTCCAAAACCCCCATAATTGTACCTTAAAAGAAATCCATCTTCACAATTTTCTCCCAAGTGGTCTCATTCATTCAGGTCTTCTGTCAAAGTCTTTGTACACACTTCTCATTCACACATGTACACTAAATGACCTACCCATATCACTCTCCTTGAACTGATCCCTCTCCCACATAATAACGCAAAGTGCTATAATATGAAGAACCAAGTAAACTCCCCAGATTGATTATAAAAACTAAGACAAGCTTGGCATAAAAATTTAGTGTCTTCAGATATGAGGATTGAGAGATGACAATAAAATTCTTGTCTGTGCACACAAGCACAAAACACTCACCATCCTTTCTGCCACAGCAGGAAATGTTTCTTCAGTTCTCTGTAAGAGAATTCTCAGCAATCCTGCTGCAAGAGAATGCAGAATCTTTCATAACCTTGAAACTTTACTTTACCACACATAATGCTTTGTGGGTGGCAAATTAATCTATTTACAAGAATCCTAGTGATATAGCATCATATTTCTAACAAGGGTACCAGTATCTAGTCCTGAATATTTGCCATGTCTGTAAGGAAACATACTAATTCTTGTGAACGAACACACACTGACGTGGATTTCTTTGTTCTCACAGCAGAGACCTGAATAGATTATGAAGCTTAGTGTCTTATTACACTTTGTGTAGTCTTAACAGATTGTTGCTCAGTTTCGAAGGCAGCTTGTTCACCTAATCTGAGTGAACCTCTTGCTTCCAAAACATGGGTAACTGGCTACCACACTGCACGGAGTTACGTCTTAGAAACAGCAAACCTACTCTACAAATTTACATCTCAGAGCCGCAAGAATGCGTTTGTATGACATGCAACTTCAAACAGTTCACCATAGACCATCGGCTCTCACGACTTCCTTTATAAATCGGATTTGTATGTGTAACAGGAGAAAGGGCATAAAAAAGTAAAAATGTGCACTCTACTAGTAGCATCACACTCAGAATTGAATTTCTATCGAATGATTCCCTAAAGAATACCCACAACTTACACACTTCCATTAAGAACGTAAAGTCTGGTACCTACGATGCAAGAACTTCTGGCAGTTTGTTGTGGGCACAACTTGTGACGCTCCTCACCTTGTTTCACACCGATCACCGCCGACCGTAACCGACCCAAAATCTTAATCGTCTTACTGCACCAACGCCCAAAACCTACAACGGAAATTTAAGATCCTCTGATTGCTCTGATTGGCTCACACTTATGCGATTCGATTAATTACGATAGGTGTATCATGATCGATTGCATTCATTTCCAGAATATGTAGTTCATGTAGCTGAATTTAAAAGAGTGTTCTGCATGTTTGCCTCTCCCCAGTGGGATTTTCACTCCCCTGATCAGGGGGCCGGATGGCCATTGCTCAGGCCTTTTTTGTATTTACAATTATTTTTCCCCACAATAAAAATTAATCTGTCGCCATTCTCACGAAAATTACAAATTCGGAACACATTGCTTTTTACTTCAATATTGGATTTGATTTGTTTCATTTTTGGTCCGTCACACTAACAGTTACAATTATAAAATACAAGTCCGTCCAGCGTGACTATTTCAGTTTTCTCACTTTATGATTCACTAACCTTACAAGTTTCGATCCATTTGGATCATCTTCAGAGGCACTAAACACTTTTTAGAAACCACTATCACAGCAGTTCTCATATCAATTACACATATTTTTTTGGCTTATTTTGGACTTCACCCATCATCCGGTATATAAAAGACAAAAAACCACGACGTTTCGACGACTGGATCTGTCTCCGTCTTCAGGTGAANGTTCGTGTCAATAACTCTGTTTTCTCTCTTCTAGGTGGCCGATGTTGTGCCGCCTATGTAACTTGAGTAAGGAGATTCTTAATATAGTGCGTTATGATAAGCACAGCAGACCAAGAAATCATAAGGGACTATATTAAGAATCTCCTTACTCAAGTTACATAGGCCCACTACATTGGCCACCTAGAAGAGAGACAACACGGTTATTGACACGAACCGTAAGGTTTATGAATTTTCATTTTGAACAAATTTTTAAACCATGATATGTATGCCGTGTCTGTCTTGTAGTGCACTCATTTTCACCTGTTATTTCACAACATGTTGCGGCAACATAGTGCCATCATCAGGTGCTCCATTTACACTAATCTATTGCATTGCTTGACATTATGTCATCGTAAAATTAATTAAAAAGTATTTAAAAATATTCGTCAATACCAGATATAAAGAACACATACATGACATAAGACACAATAACAGCAATACAGGATACTCGGAATACATATTAAACACAGGACATGCATATGGTACAATACAAGACACTATGGATATCATAGCAAAGAATAAGAAAGGACAGTATTTAAACACATTAGAAAACTATCACTATGGATATCATAGCAAAGAATAAGAAGGGACAGTATTTAAACACATTAGAAAACTATCACTATGGATATCATAGCAAAGAATAAGAAAGGACAGTATTTAAACACATTAGAAATCTATCATATATATAGAACAACAACGAAAAACATACATATGAACAATATAAATAAGGAAATATATAACCAAATATTTCATGAACTACACACAATTTACACAGAACAACATAACACAACCCCACCACCTACCCCCACCACATTTACCACCACAACATCAAAGCTCAATCAATACGAAGACACACACACATCCAACATTACAACACCCGCAGCCAAAAAGGGAACACACATCACGAGACACGGTGAGTACTAAAAATTATAATACAACACATAACAGATAGAAGACAAAAGTAAAAAAAAATATATATATAAGTACCTTTTTCACGTTGCAGATATACACGGTGTATAAGAGGAACGACTCCCATAGTGGAGGAACCATACGCGGGTTTGAATTAGGACAAATAAGATGAATATCTTAACACGATTCTAGTGTATAAAAATTTATTATAATTGACGAATATTTTTAAATACTTCTTAATTAATTTTACAATGACATAATGGCAAGCAATGCAATAGATTAGCGTAAATGGACCACCTGATGATGGCCCCATGTTGTCGAAACATGTTTGGAAATAACAGGTGAAATTGAGTGCACTACAAGCCGGACACTGCATACATATCATGGATGAAAATTAGCGCAACATGACGCTAAAATACAGCATTATGACAGTTTTTAAAACTAAAAAACAACTTTAAATATTTCTATAAGCAGAGAGGCTGCTGTGACTGAGAGATGGAACATTGTGTACTTGGCAATACATGTATAATTGATATGACAACTGTTGTGATAGTGGTTTCTAAAAAGTGTTTGGTGCCTCTGAATATGGATCGAAACATGTAAGGCTACTGAATCATAAAGTGAGAAAACTGAAATAGTCACACTGGACAGACTTGTCTTTTATAATTTATAATTGTATAATTGTCAATATTGGGTGTTAAGATTTGGTCATGGGTTTTTTAATGTAATGTCAATAACACCTACGATACCTGTGAAGAAATCATAACGCTTTCTGTCCTTAAAATGTTTCAGTATGGACCTATATATTGAGATGGCGAGGATCTTTGAACGGATACTGAGGCCTAAGAAAAATACTGAGGGAACCCGAGAAGCGCAGTCGATATAACTTCACCTCTTTTCTACAAAGATCATTCTCTTCTGGGATTCGCGTCATGTCGTAAACTACACGGCGTCACTTTCTTATTCTAACCCTAAAGAAGAATGAATGAAAGAATGTGTAAGAAGTGGGCTTTCTTGCCCCTTTCAGAGACCACAGTGATCTATTGTGCCGCCCCTTCTGATTATCCCCACAACAATCCTGCACATCAAATGAAGCGTAGGATTATGTATGTGAGGGCGTCGAAATAGTCACTTGGTTCCATAAAATATTGACCCAAGTGACGCAATCTTAAACAAGGTAAGGCCTCACATGCGCACAGGATGTGTGTGGCTGTTCCATTTTCTTCTTGACACCTCTCACAAGTTGGACTATTACTTATTCCCAGTTTGAAGAAGTGTCCGTTGAGGTGACAGTGTCTTGTAAGTAGTCCCAACACCCATTGTAGATGGTTCTTGTTTAACTTCAACAGTTCCTTCGCTCTTTTAGTAGAGTGCCCTCGTATGAGTCCCTTTGCTTGCCTGAGTTAGGGTTGCCAGATTTTGTAAAATAAAAAATGGAGTGATGTCTTGTTGCTTGTTTATAAGGACATTTTTCACAACTAATAAGCTATAAAATATACATAATCAACATACTACATAACTTACAAAATGCAACTTCACATCTATATTACATAGGCCTATTACACATTTATAGAACAAAACAAATATTATGTAGCCCTATTTCATATTTATAGAATGCACAAAATATTACCTAAAATATTATTTGTAGAACACACAAATATTAAATACTACATATTTATAACTTTCAAAGTCTGGTCGATCAGATTCTGTTAATTGTATTTCACTGAACTCTTAGCACTTTTTAATAATTGAACATCATCATTTGAAAATTTATAAAATTCTGAATAGGACTTGCTTTCATAGTTCACTTTCACCTGGAGTTCTGCCTTGATTAAATCTGTTCACCATCTGTTTCTTGTGTCACTCCACTTACATTTCATCAAATAAAAGATTTTCTCCACAAAACATTTGAGCCAGGGATGCTAAACTAAAATCCTACCACTTTGGAAATATTTCGTACATCAGGCTCGGGTACTGAAGAAAAAAATGTAAGCCAGTTTGCTACATAATCACCATATATGTTCACATTGTTGCAGAGATAATCTTGATGGCTGCTGAACTACTCGTACAGGTCATCAAAGCAAACATTTTCACTTCGCTGAAACACTTCTATGGCTTTTTCAATATCTTTGAACTCATATTGCTATAAAAGCTCTTCAGGTATTCAGTAACCTTTTTCTGTAATGGCATAGACAATCCATTAATGAGTTCTCTTGCTTTGCTACCAAAAAGTTGTCTTTCCTTCTCTGCTGGATTTTAGAACTGAGAAGTTTCATTTGTTTGTAAGTCTCTAGTACACTTAAGTCACATCTTCCCTGCGTTTTACCTACCATTTCCAGCTGATTTCTAATATTACTTAAAAAATTAAAGTAGATTTCAGGCAACACTGCTTCCTCTGGGTCATCTTTCTTGAAAATGTTAGATAATAATTTTGGACAGTTGGGAATATTACTGAAGTAACTTTTCATTGCTTCCCAGTTCTGAAGCAGTCGAGAAATTGTTGCTGTTAATGACATCCACCTAGTTGGAACATGCCTCAAAATCTCAGTCCACCCCAAATTCAGAAATTCAAAGAATGATTTTAACTCTTCCCTTCTTTTGGCAGAGACAGAGAAGTGATTATATATCTTTAAGACTACACTTTCAACATCAACATCTAATCTGTCAATTGCAAACTTAATTGTGTTATGTACGACATGATTAGAGCACTCAGCTTTCAGTAAATTTGGGTTTTTACTTCACAGCAACTGATATACGGAATGTGTTTTTACATAGTTCACATTGGCACTGTCTGCACAATAAGATGACACATATGTTACATCCAAGTTCTGCTTTTCTAAGCTCTGCAGCACCAAACCAGTAATTTCCATAGACGTTTCATCAGCACTTTCAACAAAATCTAGAAATTTATTCTGGACTCCCTTTAAAGGGTCGAAGTACCGGATGCAAACGGGGAACATTTTTTGATTGCTTCTGTTTGATGCATGGGTAGCCAATGAAACAAAATTTTGAAGTATTTTCTAAACATCTTAAAATAGACATAAAGTCATTTAAACTTTCAGCAGCAAGAACGTACTTCACTATCATTTCCGCTTTAGTGCGTCCACATGAAAGTTTGGAAGCAATCGCGGAATCACTGAAATTATGGGACACAAGTTTATTTCCGCAGTCCAGACTGGAATAACTTAAGTTGTGTTTCACTGCATGATACACTAAACCAAGTTCGGACGCGGTGCTGTTGTCATATTCTTCTTTATTGTTTAAATTAACAAAGTATTTCGAAAGTTTATTTGAATTTCCAGAATTACATTTGTCCTTTATTTTTTTTTTGTCCCTTGTATTGTGCATGTTGCCTGAGGTCACTTTGTCCACCGTGCGAAATACTAAAATCC